ATGGTGATGGTGATGCTGCTGATGCTGATGTTGATGCGGATGCTGCTGATGCTGATGAGGATGCTGCCCTTGCTGATGCTGATGATGATGGCCATGATGATGACGATGCTGATGATAATGCTGATGGCGATGACGATGACGATGACGACGAGGGCGATAGTGGTGATGAAGATTGTGCAGCTGTTGTAGCTGATGTTGTTGCTGATGCTGATGCTGATGCTGCTGCTGATGCTGCTGATTCATGCGGTGGTTATGATGATGTTGGTGATGATGATGATGATGATGCTGATGAGGATGATGATGATGCTGATGAGGATGCTGCTGCAGATGATGCTGATGCTGGGACTCATGATACCGGCGGCGGGGACGATTACGCTGATGCTGATGACGACGACGTTGACGACGACGACGATAACGAGGACGACGACGATGACGACGATGGCGATGCTGATGATGATGTTGATGATGGTGATGGTGATGCTGCTGATGCTGATGCTGATGACGCTGCTGATTATGATTATGATGCTGCTGCTGGCGATGATGATGGTGATGATGCTGATTTGGATGATGCTACTGCTGATGATGATAACGGCGACGTTTATGATGAGGATGATGGCGACGATGATCATGATCATAATGGTGGTGGTGATGGTTTTGGCTGATGATGACGGTGATGGTGACGGCTGACGGTGATGGCGGTGATGATAATGTTGAATATGACGACGATGATGATGATGCGGATGATGAGGATGATGCTGATGATGAGGGTGATGATGCTGATGGTGATGTTGCTGATGATGCTGATGCTGATGCTGATTCTGACGCTTCTGCTGACGATGATGCTGATGATGATACTGATGGTGATGTTGGTGACGATGATGATGGTGACAGTGATGATGATGCTGATGATGCTGATGATGATGATCTGATGATGCTGATGATGATGACGAGTACTTTGTTTTTTGATGTTGATGTTGATGATGATGATGATGATGATGATGATGATGATGATGATGATGATGATGATAATGGTGATGACGATGATGACGATGATGATGCTGCTGACGATGCTGGTCATGATGATCATGATGATGATGCTGATGCTGATGTTGATGCTGATTATGCTGCTGATGATGCTCATGATGCTGGTGATGCTGGTGATGATGATGATGATGATGATGCTGATGATGATGATGATGATGCTGATGATGCTGATCGTTTGCGTATGATAGGACTACAGGACATGAAAAACCAGCGCGTTGTTGGGCACTTCTGACGAGGAACCGCATTCGCGCGGTGCACCCTGTTGTGTCTGCACCCCGACGCGCGGTTGTGACGCCCACGGGTGACTCGAGAGCGACTCCAGCCAGGCATTGCGGGCGCGAGGGAGGACAAGGCACGGCGACTACAAACCTACAGATCGTCATTATCTACAAAAAGTGGGACTTGTTGAAGCACGTCTCGTGAAGCACGCTTCATGTTGTACACCTCCGTGAAGCACGCCATGATGAAGCACGCAATGAGGAAGCACGCCTGATGAAACACCCCCGTGATGAAACACTGCCTATAACTTAATCCCCGATGAAATAACTCCATGATGAAGCCATCCACGACAGGTAAACACTCTATGATGTAGCGTTCCACGATGCGGCACTCCACCGCATTCTTTGATGAAGCACTCCACGACGACGCAGTCCACGCTAAATCATTTCTTTGTGAAGCACTCCTGGCTTGCACTCCGTGGTGAAGCTCTCATCTTTGAAGCACTCCTTGCTGATACACTCCTTGGTGAAGTATTCCGGGAATATCTCCTCCACAAAGCACGCCGCCGGGAAGCGCGCGCCTCCTCACGCACGCCACGATGGGCGCCTGGCTCCGATGAAGCACGCCGCACTGCAACACAACCGAAGAAGCCGTCCACGATATATCATTCAACAATGAGGCACGCCGCGACGAGGAAACCCTCGATGAAACCCTTCCCAATGAAACCCACCGCGATGAAGCACGCCCGCACTCTGTGAAGTACGCCGCTAAGAAGCATGTTTCCGTGAAGCACGCCTCCGTGAAGCGTGCCTCCGTGAAACACGCTTCTGTGAAGCACGCCACGATGAAGCGCGCCACCTTAAAGCGCGCCTTTCCAACGGAAGCACGCCACAATGAAGCCCTCCAGGAGGCCCTTCTCGATAAAGAACGTCTCCATGCTGAAGCACGCCAGCCCGACGAAGACAACGATGAAGCTTTCCAAGATGAAGCCTCGAGGGAACCCTCCACGAAGTACCGCTCCGCGATCGAGCGCGTCACTCCCTGAGAAGCACGCTTCCGTGAAGCACGCTTCCGTGAAGCATGCCACAATGGAGCACGCTTCGATGTAGCACGCCCCGATAACAGCAAAACGCCCCCCACGAACCACTCCACAATGAGTCACTGCACAATGAAGCACTCAACGAAACTCTCCCTGATGAAGTTTTCACCTACGATGGTGCGCAGCCCGAAGAATCGTAACAGTATGGCACATAATGACGCAGCGCTGCTAGCCAACCTGAGGGCGCGAGATTGCGCACCAGGAAACCACGAGGTATATCATACGACACTGTAGGCACAGTGGCGCAAGATACATATGATGGGCCTGTTTTCCACCACCACCGCCATAAGTTGTAGGGGGAGGGGGTCCTCCTTCTCCTTCTCCTCCTTCTCCTCCTCCTCCTCTTCGTCCTCCTCCTCTTCGTCGCCCTCCGCCTCGTCCTCCTCCCCCCCTCCAGCTCATGGTGGTGGCGGTGGGACACGGGCTCACCATGCATAGGCCGGCGGCCGAGTCTATCTTGATCTTCGGCCTGGCGCGGACACTACCACAGCGAAGGAGGGACATGCGGAGCCCCGCCGGCAGAGGTGGCTCTCCACCCAACAGTTGGCGACGCGCGAGGGGTGCGTGCTTCGTGGAAGAAAGAGGCGAACACAGACAGAGACAGACGCGGCAAGTCGGGCCTGTCCCTCTACAGGAGGAGTAGCCAGAAATAGTAAACAACAGTATAGGGTGAGATTTTTCGGCTATGTTTCGATTAGTTCGGAGTGTTTTTTTGACTATTTTTTATTTTTCTTCCTGATTCCGCCTGCAGGGGGACACGCCCGCCCTAACAGTAGCGATAACCCCGGCCCCGCCGTTGCAGCGACGCCGATATTGAAAGTGGATCGTGATGATGATCGGCTTCGCATCATAGGAAAACCGGCGATGAAGGGCTAGTGCGTTGTTGGACTCACGGGGAGCCGCAGCCACGCGGCGTTGCTTCAACGGTTGCCCGATGATCCGACGCACCCTGCTGTGTCTGTGCCCCGCCGTGCAGGTGCGACGGCCACTGGTGATTGGAGAGCGACTCCAGCCAGGGAGTATGGGTCTGATGACGGACGAGGCAAGGCGATTACAGAGATGATCAAGCTGCTGTTGATGCTTATGATGATGCGGATGCTGATGCTGATGCTGCTTCTGCTGGTGAAGATGATTCTGGTGATGACGATGAGGATGATGATGCTGCTGATGGCGGTAGCGATGATGACGTGACTGTTGCCGCATCGGTTGTTGGTTATGCCGGTGACGATGGCGACAACGTCGACGATGATGATGATGATGATGATGATGATGATGATGATGATGATGATGATGATGATGATGATGATGATGATGATGATGATGATGATGCTGATGCTGATGCTGATGCTGATGATGATGATGATGATGATGATGCCATCTGTTTTTGCCGACGAAGACGGTGGTAGGGATCATGGCAATAATGACGATCATGCGAATAAGGTTGATGACGATGATGCAGATGATGATGACGTTGTTGTTATTGTTGATGATGATGGTGAGGACGTTAATGGCGACGATGCAGATGATGATGGCGTTGTGTTATTGTTGATGATGATGATGACGATGATGTGGGTGCGGGTGTTGACGATGATGGATGACGGGGTGGGTGTGGATGAGAGTTATTGTGGTACAGTGATCGTCCTGATGACGATGATGGTTGTGGTGCTGGTGATGGTGTTGATGATGGCCCTGGTGGTTGCGATGGCGATTATGCTGACCGTGATAACGGTGATAGTGACGGTGGTGGCGATGTTAGCGTTTGTGATGCCCATGTAGGTGATGGTGGTGATGTCGATGGTCTTATTGTTGAGCTGGTGATTGTGGTGATGCCGATTGCGATCCTGATGGTGAGGATGATGAGGATGGTGAGGATGCTAAAGAGGAGGAAAGGGGGATGTGGAAGGGCAAGAGAGGTGAAAGGATGAGCAGGAGGAGGACCGAGGACGACGAGGCGACACAAACTGTCGTTCCAAACAGTCCAGTCGACCCTTGGACCTTCGGGTCAGGTTCTCAGATGTTTGGTTTTGCCTGGCTGGTGCATATGGCTGGTTGGGCTTGGCCCTTGTCGGCGGAAACACACATATGAATACGTAGGATGGCTGGTCCGTCGCCCTGATGGCTGTGCGCTTGTGTGGGCGCGTCCCTGCATGCGTGCGTGTTCCTCCATGGTTGCGTGCGTGCGCACGTGCGCGCGCACGGGTCGCCGATCAACTATCTTATGGGCTCGATGTCGGCGGTGATGCGGGGTAGGTGGGCCTTCCCAGCAGCGTTTGGTTCATCCCTGGGTTCCCCCACGCCGTCTGCCAGGCCTCTGCCGCAGCCCCGTTCGACGCAGGACGCGGCTTCTCGGTCGGGGAAGGGGGGGATGAAGGAATGTGGGAAGAGAGGAGGCACGCTGCTCTGGTCGCTGTGGGGTCATGCACGATGGTGATGTTGATGTTGATGATGGTGATTCGTACGATGTTGGTGGTGAGAATTCTATTGTTGACGATGGTGATGACGATGATGGTGGTGATGACGATGGTAGTGGTGGTGGTGGTGATGGGGATGAGGATAATAGTGGTTATGATAATGCGGCTGATTTCGACGACGACGATGGAGACGATTAGAATGACGATGCTGATGATGATCCTGATGGTGGTGGTGGTGATGATGGTCGTGGTGGCGGCGGTGGTCGAGATGATGGTGAGGCTGATGATGACGATGATGATTCGGATGTTGATTGTGTTGTCGTTGTCATTGTCGTTGTCGTCGTCGTCGTCGGCGTTTTTGTTGTTGTTGTTCTCTCATTTCTGATCAATAATCTTGTTGATCCCCCCTCACCGGTGCATGCTGTTTTTTCACAGGGAAAGTTCGCACCCTGTTTTTTGAGAAGGAAAGTCTTGTGCTCACTGTGCCCCTGGCCCCCCGGATTACAACAACAACGGCTCCCGCCTGAGACTTCCTCCACATTTACTCAGGACTCGCTCCTGAGACTTCCTCACAATTTACTCAGGATCGGTGCTCCCGCCTGTGACTTCCTTGCAATTTAGTCAGGACCCCCGCTCCCATCTGAGACTTCCTCACAATTTACTTAGGAACGGCGCTCCCGCTGAGACTTTCTCGCAATTGAATCAAGACTTCCTCGCAATTCAATCAAGACCCTCGCTCTCGCTTGTGACTTCCATGCAATTTAGTCAGAAGTCGCGCTTTCGACGCTCAGGAAACACACTGCGCCAAGGACGCCGTTACAATTTACTTGGTAATCGCGATCCCGCCATACTCATGCATCCCGCTTGAATGTCCCACCCGCCCGACCCGCCCGTCAGGGGATCGCCCGGCCGTCATGGGCTCCCGCCCAAGACTTCCTCCAGGAACGGCGTTTTCGCCTAGGACTTCCTCGAACGTTCACGCTCTTACATTCCTGCTCCTCCCTCTCCCTCCTTCCTCCTCCCTCCTCTCCTCCCTTCTCTATCCCTCCTCTCTTCCCTCATCCTTTCCTGCCTCTGTGCCATATCCCCTTTCCCTCCTCTCCCTCCTCCTCCTTCCCCTCTCCTGCCTCCTCCCTCCCTCTTTCTTTCTCTCTCTCTCTCTCTCTCTCTCTCTTCCCTCTCTTTCTCTCTTTTTCTCTACCTCTCGGATCTGTCTTTTTTTCCTTTCTCTCTCCTCCCGCTGCCTCTAATCAACCGCCCCCTCTTCGCTCCTCTCCTGGCGTTTTCCCTCTTCCTTCGTCCATCCCCCTCCCTTCCTCCCACTCTCCCTCGTTCTCCCCCTCCTCTTTCTGCAGGGCCCAGACCAATTCCAATGGCGGGCACATGTACGCCCACGAAGGATTGTCCGCCCCCCGTTCAGGTTTGTCCGCCTGTCTAAGCCCGCCGCCCCCTGCAAAGAGAAAAAATCCCCCCAAGGGGGTGCCATCGAAGACAAAAAGGGCGGGTATCGAGGGTGTGGGGAACCCGTTTTGAATGACACGCGGGCAAGTAAGAGCGAACAGTCTTATAATGATTGTTGTTGTTGTTGATGATGATGCTGATGATGATGATGATGATGATGATGATGATGATGATGATGATGAGGATGATGAGGATGATGATGATGATGATGATGATGATGATGATGATGATGATGATGTTGTTGGCGAGCACGCCTTCGTGTGCGGCTGCTCGAATGGGCAGCTATTTTAAGCTCGTCCCAGAACGGGATCATGAGGGGCTTGATGAGGAACCGTTGTAAACCACCTCCGCACACAGGCCTTTGTAGGGGCCATCGGGGGTAGGGGCCATCTTGGTGCTCTCAAGGGGCCCTTGGTGGCAGCACGTGCCATTTTAGGGGCTCTCCTGGGGCCCTCGTCGGAGCCTTGGAAGAAGTTGCGCTGCCCCTCTGGCGCTCGGCAACTCGCCTCGTGGAGCTTTCATGCCATGCTCTTGTGGCGCTCCTGGGCGTCTTCGCTGCCGTCCTGGACCCCCCCTGTTGGGGATCGATTGGTCGATGTTGTAGCCGTCTCGAGGTATCGGAGGTCCATCGCAAGCGAGAATGCGAACCTGTTCAATGATGTTGGTCTCTCGAGGGTATCCTTGGGAGGCTCTGCGACCACTTGGAGCCGTCTTGTGGCCTCTGGGTCGCATGTTGAAGACTATCTTGAGCCATCTTGTGCTGTCTTGTGCCATTTGGGGGGTATGGGGCGATCAGCGGCAGCCCTGGACTCATCGAGGGCCATCCGTGACACTCCTCCTAGAAGGGGAATGCGTGGGTTAGATCAGAGGCCAGGTGGGATTTCCAGAGGGGCTCAGGTCGAACAGAGTGCAGATGTATATCTTCGAACTTCGCGTGCTGGCCTGTGGCAGTTGGGTACCGTCTATACCGCGCGCCGTCACCGATACGACTGGCAGAAGCGAGCTCGCCGCCGCCCTCGCGCTTTGACGCAGGCAATGCGACAGAGGCATGCAGCTGAGGGCCCCCTCCGCCTTGGCCCCTGGCCCCCCCCTCGCTGTCTGGCCGTGTACCGCCCGCCCGCCCGCCCGCTCCTTCACTGTCCTTCTTCGCCCCCTGGGAGGCGCCCCTCGGCAGGGTGCGGTGGTGCAGCGGGGCAGGCGGCAGCGGGGACGGGCGCGGCGCACGCGAGAGGCCACCCCCAGCCTGCTGCGCCCCATCCTGCCGCTGTGCGGGCCTCTGCAGGGCGCGGGGAGTGGGTGGGGGCGGGACGCCCGCAGTCCCCCTCTCTGCCTTGCCCATCCTCCCCCCGGCCATGGAGCGAAAGAGTCCAGCGGCCCCTGTTTTGGAGGCCGCCGCCTGCCGTGCTCTGCGCGACCGGGCGTGTCGGATGGCTCCAGGTGCTCTGTACCCAGACCCCCGACGTCATGATTTCTCCCAGCCCTCCTATGGTTGGGTGCTCGTTTTGAACAGAGCAGTGTGGTCGCCCCGTCCTTCTCCTCCTCCCCCCTGCTCCCCTCCTCCTCTCCTGTTTCCTGTGTTCCCCTCTCCTCTTCTCTCGTGCCGTCGGGCTGCGATCTGCGCAACTGTCGCCACTTTCGTGGGCTCCTGGGAGGCCCAGCGGAGGTGGGTCCCACGCGGACCACCTCGGGACCTCGCGGTGCCCTGGGGGGCTGCGATCTGCGCAACTGTCGCCACTTTCGTGGGCTCCTGGGAGGCCCAGCGGAGGTGGGTCCCACGCGGACCACCTCGATCGCGGTGCCCTGGAGGCTGCGATCTGCGCAACTGTCGCCACTTTCGTGGGCTCCTGGGAGGCCCAGCGGAGGTGGGTCCCACGCGGACCACCTCGGGACCTCGCGGTGCCCTGGGGACTGCGATTTGCGCAACTGTCGCCACTTTCGTGGGCTCTGGGAGGCCCAGCGGAGGTGGGTCCCACGCGGACCACCTCGACCTCGCGGTGCCCTGGGGGCTGCGATCTGCGCAACTGTCGCCACTTTCGTGGGCTTCTGGGAGGCCCAGCGGAGGTGGGTCCCACGCGGACCACCTCGGGACCTCGCGGTGCCCTGGGGCTGCGATCTGCGCAACTGTCGCCACTTTCGTGGGCTCCTGGGAGGCCCAGCGGAGGTGGGTCCCACGCGGACCACCTCGGGACCTCGCGGTGCCCTGGGGGCTGCGATCTGCGCAACTGTCGCCACTTTCATGGGCTCCTGGGAGGCCCAGCGGAGGTGGGTCCCACGCGGACCACCTCGGGACCTCGCGGTGCCCTGGGGGGCTGCGATCTGCGCAACTGTCGCCACTTTCGTGGGCTCCTGGGAGGCCCAGCGGAGGTGGGTCCCACGCGGACCACCTCGGGACCTCGCGGTGCCCTGGGGGCTGCGATTGCGCAACTGTCGCCATGGGAGGCCCAGCGGAGGTGGGTCCCACGCGGACCACCTCGGGACTGGGGGCTGCGGCAACTGTCGCCACTTTCGTGGGCTCCTGGGAGGCCCAGCGGAGGTGGGTCCCACGCGGACCACCTCGGGACCTCGCGGTGCCCTGGGGGCTGCGATCTGCGCAACTGTCGCCACTTTCGTGGGCTCCTGGGAGGCCCAGCGGAGGTACGTCCCACGTGGATCATTCGGAGGTACGTCATACGCGTTTCTTTCAACGCCCTTGTGTCCATTTGGTATAGTTGCCGTTCCTCTTCTTGCTGCGCTCTTCTGAAGTCACTGTCGGGTGCTCTTCTTGCGCGCTGCGGGTCCTTCAGAATGCCAGTCAGCATTGTGTGGTCCTGAGTATGATCGCCACATGTATAGAAAGGGTTGGGTACGTCACAGGGTAATTTCATGACGTCGACCTCCAGGGGTCTCGGCCCATTCTCGGGGACCTGTTTTTCATCCTGAGTCGTTTTTAACTGTCCCGTGAGGGCGAAAATGGCGAAACACCTCGCGTCTTGAGTTTTCACGACTCGAGGGGGTCTGGTAGAGCCTCTGGCCGCGTGGATTGTGGCGCCCAGGACACTCCTCATGGCGCCCACATCGTAGAGCGGATTTCGTTCGCAAAACGGTAGGGTGGGCCCGTGGTGTCCTGGAGAATTTCGTTCCGGATTTCGATGTGGATTTCGTGGGTTTTTTTGGACAGGGATGGAGACCAAACAGAATCCTCGCGAAATTCACTCCGCTTTTCGCTCGCCACTTCGGGCAACAGTCCACGCAGAAATCCGCGCAGAACTCCGCTGCAGCACGTCTGAAAGGCCAGTGCAATTCAGAGGCCAGCAACATATGTACACGTACGCGGTTCGTTTCCCCTGGAGTGCGTGTCAACGCGGACGTTCGTGCAGGCAAGACCGTGGAGGGCGTACATGTACATATGTCGTTGCTCGCCCAGCAATGGTATCTGCGTGCTTTCGGCCCCTCGGGGTCTCCTCGTGACGCTCTGGGGCCGCTCGGGGCCGCCCTCGGGTGGTCTGGTGGCCCCTGCCACGTTCGACCATGCTGCGCCATCTCCGAGGTCATTTGAGCTACCCGAAGCTGGAGGAGGGGGAGGAGGAGGAGGAGGAGGAGGAGGAGGAGGAGGAGGAGGAGGAGGAGGAGACTCCAGGACACACCCCGGCCAGGAAGCGCACCCATCTCTGCGGCGTGTGGTGGGCCTGGGCGTGCCGGGCCCACGAGTCCCCTGGCGGTGCCTCCGAGGGGGCGGCCCCCCCTCGGCCGGCGGCCGCAGAGGGCTCGCCGGCCGGCGCGCCCAGGCCCGCAGGGGATTCGAGAGTTTCCACCGCAGAGCCCCCCCCGCGATTCGAGAGCCCCGCAGAGAGGAGCTGAAAGCCCCCCCCCCCTTCCAGGAAGGCCCCCCGGGGGCCCTCTGGGGGGGGCTCTCTGCTCCTCACCTCCTCCTCCTCCTTCCTCCTCCTCCTCCTCCTCCTCCTCCTCCTCCTCCTCCTCCTCCTCCTCCTCCTCCCTCCTCCTCCTCCTCCTCCTCCTCCTCCTCCTCTCCCTCCTCCTCCCTTCCTCCTCCTCCTCTCTTCCTCCGCCCTCCTCCCTCCCTCCTCCTCCCTCCTCCTCCCTCCCCTCCTCTTCCCTCTTCCCTCCTCCTCCTCTTCCCTCCTCCCTCCTCCTCCTCCTCCTCCTCCTCCTCCTCCTCCCTCCTCCTCCTCCCCTCTCCTCCTCCCTCCTCCTCTCCTCCTTCCTCCTCCCCCTCCTCCTCCGTCCTCCCCTCCTCCTCCACCTCCTCCTCCTCCACCCCTCCTCCTCGTCCTCCTCCTGCTCCGCCCTCCTCCCTCCTCCCTCCTCCTCCTCTTCTCTTCTCCTCTTCTCCTCTTCTTCTCTTCTCCTCTCTCTCCTCTCTTCTCCTCTTCTCCTCCTCCTCCTCCTCCTCCTCCTCCTCCTCCTCCTCGGGCGGCAGCCCCGCCTTCGGGCCCTGCCCCGTCGCCCCTGCCCCCCTCCTGGCCCCTGCTCCGCCCTTGTCCCTCCTTCCCCCTCAGCCCTGCCCTCGGCATCGCTCGGGCGTGCGCATCTTTCTTCGGCGAGGACCACCGACCCAGAGATCCAACGTGTTGACAAAATCAAGACGTAGGTTTGTCGCATTCTGCAGCCCCGGGACCGTCAAAAAACGGTTCAGGATAAAGAACCGGTCCTGGGGAATGGGTCGAGACTTCTGGGGACCCCGTATTGAAAAAATCACGACGTCGGATCTCTCAGGAGGAGCATCTTGACTCGTCTGGCGAAACAGGAAGGCACGGAGTCGAAACGTGGAATGAACGTCCGAGCGATGGTGAGTTCTTGCCCCTCCGCCCCCCCCTTGCCCCTCCTCCGCCCTTCTTTCCGTGGCGCTGCCAGGCCTTCTCCAGATTCGTGGGCGGCGCCCCGTCCGCCCCTGTCAGGGAGGGGGGGTCGGATGTCGAGGGGAGGAGAGGGGGACTGGGCGGAGGGCACAGGACGTCTTCTTATTACTGCACCTTTGGAGGGGTAGGCGGGGAGGACCTACTGCCTCGCCAGTTCTCTCGACACGGCTGGCCACTGTTACGCCCCAGAGGACTTCGAGACGTAGTCGAGCGCCACCCTGGCTCACCGTGTCGGCGTAGTGGTGGGCGGTGGATTTTGAGTAAGGTTTCACCCCCCACGAGCTCGCTATGGAGGACACCTCCGCCACCTCCTCAATCTTTCTTGTAAGCTCCTCATCGTGATCGGGATCTCCTAGGAGAGAGGGTCTTCTGTTGGCGAGTGATGGAGTGTACGGGGTGGGGGGTCCTAACTGCTAACCCTCCAGAGCCCACAACACCCTTAACCCCCCCAACGTGTGGGGAGGGGTGGTTTGGACCTCCCCCCGGTCGAATTGTAAACGCCTGTTCGTTCGACTATTCATCAAGACAGTGGGTTATACTCGGCCGAGATAGGACATCCATTGGTGTTCTTTACCAGTGAAGTCTCTGGAGCAAAATGCTCGGCGCAGTCTTGAAGTGACCTCTTCGCCCTCTGAGAGGGCCTTAGGCGTCCGCTGGAAGTGTCTCCCTCTAGACGTCCTTCGGCGCCCTCAGCAACTGCAGTCGGCGTCCCCAAGGCGTGCCTCTGACGCCCTCGAGAGGCTTCGTAGAGGCTTTTCCAAGGCTTGCCGTGGGATTTCGACGAGTTATTTCCGTGCCAGTGAGAGGCTTTCGAGAGGATTCCGACAGGCTTTTGAAGATTGCGCACATGCCTCGGACCATGCGCGCGGCCTTCACAAGCCTGTTGTGAGAGGGAGGAAGGGGGGAGGGGCGAAGGCTTCTCAGAAGCACCCTGCTTCTTAATGCGCGGGCCTGATCCGTATATGCAAAGGCCAGGGAGCCTTCTGAAAAGCAGCCTACTTCTAAGAAGCCTTCCCCCCTCCCCCTTCCTCTGTTTCAGGCCCCCGACTTTTGCGCGCCGCCAAGAGATGCGAGCCCCCCTCTTGGACGTCCCTTTGTTGGACGACCCCCCCGAGGGGCCCTGGGCCTCTCGAGGGATCGCGGGCCGCGCGTGGTGCACGCTGCAGAGAGCCGCGGCGCCGGCAGTCGTCGGGAAGACCCCCCTCCTCCTCCTCATCCTCCTCCTCCTCCTCCTCCTCCTCCTGCTCCTCCTCCTCCTCCTCCTCCTCCTCCTCCTCCTCCTCCTCCTCCCCCTCCCCCTCTCCCCTCCTCCTCCTCCTCCTCCTCCTCCTCCTCCTCCTCCTCCTCCTCCTCCTCCCCTCCTCCTCCTCCCTCCTCCTCCTCCTCCTCCTCCCCCTCCTCCTCCTCCTC